TATTTCTAATACAAATAATTAATAACCTGACACCCCCCCCCACCAGGGCTTTCCAATTTGCTACCTAATCCTCACAGTAGCCAAGATGGCAAATAGATGCCACCTGCACTCTCCAGATGAAACAGATGAGACTTGCTTCCCCAAACTGAAAAATTAAGTCAATGACATGGGCAACAGACCGGATCTCTGCTCCAAAGCTCATACTCTTGCCTGAGCTTTCTCGCAGTAAGATGACTGAAACAACCTTATTTTCCTACTACAAATTAAAATTTCAAAACATCCCCTAAATCCATCATCTGAGAACAACTGCACTCTGCAACTTTATTACGCAAACCCCAGTAACGTAAGACAGCATTTCTCCCTTCGCCATAACCTGCGAAAGCCAAGCAACACAATACAAGACAGATAAGGGAGCCAGAATTGGCAGCCTTTGTGTGCATCATTGTTACGCGTGGCGCTGGGCTGCAGGTAAGCACCTTCCCTCCACAAGCACACGCGCTAGGAAAGCGGCGCTAGCAACCGCGCATACCCACACAACCCACAGCGCTTCCATTTCCCGTTTTATCATCTCTGCCTCTCAGTCACATTGCACTCAGGATGCAGAGCGCATCTCTGCCGCTATTACAGCCTAAACACGCCTGCCAGGAGCTGTCTGGCCCAGCCATTGCTTTCATTAATGAAACGTTATCAACTTTCTAATGTTGGTGCTCTAAAGCAAATGTACCGTTACCAGCTCACCACCGGCCCATTTTTCAAGAAGAAAACAGCTGCTGACTGAATCTGTCACTTTTCACCACTACTCCTTCTTTTAGGGAGAATCAGAACAAGTACAGGCGCACACCCCAAACTGCCACCTACTCTGCAGCTTTTCACTCATTAGTCTGAAGAAAAAAGATACCCGGTCCTGGGAGACAGCAAGTGACGTTCGTCAAGTGCTCAATGTAGGTTTGCAGGAAGCAGTATCTCTTTGTTTTTGCTTTTGAGAATATCAAGATATCCGATTATAACTTGGTTGCTAAGACTGTACTAACTCACTGTAGCTGGGTTTAGAGATCCCATTTTGTTGCTGATCCCTTGCCGTTCTCCCCCAGTTTACCGCAATAGTTAAAGATGGATACCAGGCAAGTCTGAGAGCCACTCATACCTCTTTCAGTTTTTGACAATATTCATCCTTAATAGTAACAAACTGCCACAAAATCTCAAGTAACATGGGCAGTATTTAAAATTTCTTCTGAAACGTAGTCAGTTATTAACAACATGGAAAAAGCTAATTTCATCAGAGGCAGGAGGGGACTGACCCGAGACTCAGTTCAGCTTATGGGTCTTGCAGTAATACTCCACAGAACATTTCTGTTACAGCAGAGTTTTCCAGGGGAGAGAAGAAAAAAAAAGTAGAAAAGAGGAACTTTAAATGTGTGCAGTTTATTTCTGCAATGCCTGATGTTCATTGAGTCACACTTCGGTGCTCAGTGCCATGAAAACACTGCTTTTGAGGTGACATTTGTAGTTGCTTCATTACTCTTTTCAAAAGAGTTTTGCATCAAAGAGGCAGAGCTTCAAACAACAGAGCGTACAGGAGTACAATAATTTATCAACAGTACACGAAATGGAATCACTAGGAACTGCTGATACTGAAACAAGCAGTGCAGCTGTGTCATCAGCAGCTAGCACTGCAACAGTGAATGCACAGGCTATTCTAGACTTGAAAGCTGCAAGAGGAGCAACAAAAGGACTGGTGATTTACTCATTATCTCCTTATTGGCTGGCTTTTCAGATACTTCCCATTCAATTCTTCCATCACAATAAGAAGGATCTGGAGACAGGCCTACCTTCATGTTCTTTTTCAGTTGTTCCAACTTTCTTTATCTTTTTGGGTGATTTCATGAAGAGTGGAAAGATGGTCCTCAGACCAAGAATGTCAACAAACTTGTGACAGTTGTCTGTGCCCTCAGGTCCAATCATGGCATGGTCTAGTACCTTCAAGGCACTGCTACGAGAAATCTTCTTTTCTCTAGGAAAAGAAAGCCTCAGTTAAACATCTCAGGGACATGAGGAGTTTTGGATTAAAGACAGTTTATACTAGCTTTGAACTACACTACTTCAATGAGACAGCACAAAAAGGGAAAATTAATGAGACAAAGACAAGTATGAAGAGTCCGAGTACAAGCTTTAAGCAAAGCCAAAGCCAAAACATTATATCAACAAATACTTTCTTTTCAAACCTGTGGTGGAGGACAAAATATTCTCTTGGGTATATCAGAAGTACTTTTTCACCACCTTACAAACAGTAGCACAAGACAGGCAGGGAAAATTGGGTTGGGTACACAAGACAAACACTGTCACACCAAAAGGATCTGAGTTTCGATTTCATTAAATGGAATTATTGTTAAAGAGTAAGTTTGGTAAGCTTAGTTCAGTTTCTGGTGGGCAGGATTCCAAACCAGGAAAGCCAGAATTTATTAAAACAACAAGTCTAAATCTATTACATTTGAAAACCAGACAGAAAACTAACATTTTTCCTCCAGCATTCCTATAACAACATCCTTTGTTTTTAAAGATCCTCTGACATAAAAATAGTAACATGTGTTTCACAGTAGCATGAAAGGAGAAGAGCAAGAAAAGCAAATGAAGTCCATATACTAGGATGCTTTGACAAAAGTCACAGTTACATGAAGCTGTGCCCTACAAACCTGTACACACTCACAGGATGTAGTATATATATGTGTGTATATATATACACATATTTTATTAACCGTATGCTTATTGGAAAAGTTTGTACCAAGTTATTTCTGTAACATAATAACAAACTTCTAAATAAGTCATTCTTGATACCTTGAAGTACACAAAATACAAGTTATATAAAGAGACTTCTTTTGCCAAAGAAGAAAATTTGACTAACTCTAAAATGAGACTATCTCTGGATGGGAATTTGGTTTTCAAAATGGAGGGATATTGTGGTCAGCTTGGTTGCCTGAATCCAATTTTGATTTGAGAAAACACAAGAGTTTTGGGCAGTTTTGGGTTAAAGAGTACATCTCCTACACCCTTCTGGATATCACAGAATATACAACCTAGCTTAAAGATAACTGTTTGTATTAAAGGTTTACTAAAAATAACTGCGAGTAAACTTCCCAACCACACAAAAGCAATGATAACCATTTATCATCACCATTCCATCAAGTAACTCTTTGGGCTGAAATTGAATTGAAATGTGTTGTTACATGCTCAGATCCCAATTTGGTATTTATAAGGCAACAGCCGACAACATTAGCAATGAACTCTACAAGTATTTTCTTGCTGGCAGTGCCATCAGCTATATCAAAGACAATCCTGTCTCCAGAAATCATGTTTGGAGGGAAGCAGATTTTCAGCTATTCTGCTTTAATAAAAATTCAGACTCTTAGTGTTGATGATTCATACTCATGATAGACAGACACACTGAAAATCATCTCTAAAAATCTATACCTCTCAAATAAGAAACAGAGAAATTTATAATTAATTCAAGAGAATATGTAAAATACCCTGTGAAACAGGAACTGAAAAAGTAGTCACTAACACAGTCTATAAAATAAATGGATCAGGTAAATTGTTAGTGGGAGCTAATGTGAATTGAAGAATGAGAATCTACAGCTTTCTCAAAGGCCAGTCCAATCATGGAATAAATTCCCTTAGGAATAGGACAGTCACAAGCCTTACCACCTACAGTTCTAGAAGCATAGTAATCTCCTCTGACTTTTTCTCCAAGAGATAATTTGTGCTCCAGAAAATACGCAGCTAAAACATATTTTAAAAATAAATCCCCACAGAGACAAGATGTGCTCTTCCCCTAGAGAGACAATGAGAGAGCAGTTATCTGCAGACACACATTAGTTACCCTGCATTACTATAAGGTACTCAGTTGTTATTGGTGAATGTGGAATAGGAATCTATAAAGAGCAAAACATCACTCATTCAAGCCTCTCCATGTTTCTCCCCACGGTGGCCAAGAGGCTGGCATACATATGGCAAGCCACCCTTGCATACCTGTCACAGCCACATACCTATGCAACCCCGCAGTGCGGGACCAGCCTTCTCACACGTGAACACCGCACACGGAGAAGAACCCAGTGACTCTCTACACAGACCTCATGTCCATCAGCAGTCTCCTGTCATGACAGGAGGGCAGCATCAGATTAAAATTAAGTTTCAAAGAAACCCCAAGTTTGCTGAAGCCCAAGCTCCAGAGAGTTGTGGAAAACGTCCTCCCTTTAGAGACCTATCTTTGTGAACCCGTAACAGTGTGCAAACTTCATATACATAAACACCCTATCCTAAAAAAGCCAACTGCAAGCACAGATGCTTTCGGTGTGCATTGAGTGGTTGTTAAAGTATCAAGCTCAACTCAAATCTTGTTTAACAGCGAGTTCTACCTGTTAACTATGCAGTGTAGTACAAAATTATAAAAAAGTAGTATAAGAAGTTCAACACCCTCCTGCGCAACACATACCACCTTTCCTATACAGAAAGCTAGAAATAAAGTACTCCTTTGGCTGGACAATATAAGAAATGCTTTCAAGGGAAGTAATTGCATATTGATCAACAGTTAAGGAAGGCTGCACAGAGCTGAGCTCTGGAATATTCATTGGATTTAAGTTCAGGCTTTCAGAGATCAATAGCTGTTTGACTGGACTGTCTAGAGTTGATTTTACTTGAAATATTTATTCTACTGAAGGGCAAGCAGTTTATCTTAGTCTCATCTGCGTTTATTGAAGCAACTTTTAGCTGAACACTAATTCAAAGACAAGCATATGTGAGTATCGCCAAACGTCTAGTGACCTTAATCTTAACAGAGAACTCTAAATTACAACTTTATTCAGTAACCATTGTTTTTCTGCTTTCAATACCGCTGCATTCTGGAAAACTCTTCTGGTACTTCTATTAGTTTAAAAAAAGGAGGTGCTAACACTATTTGGACTTTCCACAGCAGCATAACACAACCTCTCACTTTCCAAAATACTAGCAAAAGCAAAATACTAGATTTGCTGGACAAGTGCTTTAAAAAATGGTTCTGTTAATTAACCAAAAGATTCAGTACACAGACATTCTAAGTTTCTATGGGGTCATTAGGAACGGCAGGACAAGAAAACATAAAGGGATTTCAATAGTCATGAAAAATATACCTTGAAATAGCTACAGCAGAGCCCTGGGGAACAGTACAGAGTTGCCCATTTCCACTTTGGTTTGCTATACAGGCAGCAAATGCTTTTGTGAGGTCAAGAAAAGCCACTAAATAGCTTTAGAATAGAAGATCATGTTGTCGAAGTGATGCAAATTTCTGTAAACTCCCTTTTCTAGGTTCGTCTATGTGCATACACATGCACCTTCAGTTAATGACAGAGCCACACATCATTTTTCCTGTGCAATAGAGAATCTTTTTGACATCTCCCTCGGGAATCCAGCGGTTGCATCTCCTCCAAACCATAACACAATTTTACAGCAAAAGCAATAAGCTTTCCTGCCAATGCGTGCAAGGAAGCAGACATAAACATTCTGTTTCCCTCTTTTTTGGCTTTCTAAGGCAAACTGCATTTAGGTTACTAAGGCAGGGAGGGCTGAGAGACTGTGGAGCAAAAAGTGCTTCCTGACCTAAAAAATAAAATAAAGTTGAACTGTGGTTGAAGAAAGAAATTAATTCCATGTGACATTTATAAGCCTTCTGCTGGTGGCTACCACCTTATTGATAAAACATCTTGTTTTTGATAAAGATACTACATAAAATAAACAATTCTCCATTGCTGCAGAGATGTAAATCCCTGAATCATTGTATATATCCTTGCTCTCATCCTACTTCAGTACTGTCAACTTTTTTTTCTACTGTCCTCAAGCTCTGTCCTCCTTAATCTGGTCTTCTCACAGACCCTTTTATTTACCTCACACATACCTGCTCAACTGGTCCTCAGCGATGTTGTACTCCCAGGGGCCTATTGCAAGCAACAGTGCAAATCAGCAATCACAACACCAAGTCCAGAACATTGCTTTCTATGGTCATGCATGTAATGTGCATAAACAGGATCATGCTCTTTTTTCAGATGCCACTTCTGGCTCCCCATAAACTAGCAGAAGTTCACACAAGACAACTGCATCTTTTGCTGACGGCCATATAGTTTAAGTCTCAGCATAAAGGGAACTAGTCCCATTTTCCTTATTGTCCAAAGAAATCTCTTGAGGATCAGTTAAGTTAAACGTTCAGCTGAAAGACGCTATATCTCTCTAAAGTTCTGTGTACATAACCATTAACAGAGTAACTATGCAGGAACACTGAATGTATTTGAAAGCACTACATATAGAACGCTATATTCTTTAAGACGGTAATGCAGATTCAAGTCTGATACCTCTAATCTCATATAGATAAGCTATATGAGAATAACAATGGTTAACCTCCTTCAAACTAAAAACACACACACACATATATACCACTAGATCGCTCTCCCCAGTCTTCAGAGGATACAGACAGGAGAGAAAAATATTCTGTCCTGTTTGTGGATCACTACTGAATGACATTTCTTTTCTTTGCTGTTCCCAATCAAGGTATCAGGAAGGTACAAAAGTATAATCCTCCTGTGAAGTTCTCAGGACCATAACTATCAAGGTTGACCCCCTATTTACAATGCTAGCCTGCGCTTACCAAAGCAGTAGCGTCCAAGAAAATCTGAACAACTGTAAGACCTTCCAAACATACACCAAGAAAGCTCTCCAAGATTATGTAATAACCATTTAATACCTTCTTGTTACTAAAACATTACAAAAACCTGCAGTGCCAGTTTTCAGATACATCTTTCTTTGGTAGTTTGAAAGCTTCAGGGGGTGTGCTCTCAAATACTTTCCTCACCAATTCACACTGGCAGCAATCAGTGTGTACAATTTTTTTTTTTTTTTTTAATTAACGTGAAGCACTACATCCAGCAGAGCTTTCTACCCCTGACCACACCACGACCTGCACAAGCACGTAACCTCCACGGCGGCAGCTGAGATGCTCTAAGTTTTTCCTCCTAATGTAGCCTTCCTTTTGCAGCATCTTATTGCTACTATTTATCACCACCATTCATCTTTTTACCTTAGTCATCCCAAATGGATGATCTATAGAGCACTTAGCTCTAATATTGTTCTCTTACTACTTAGTTTAATTTAATTACCTGTCAAAACATCAAACACTTAGAACTCAAAAAGTTAGTTTCTAAGAGATGCCGAGAGACATTACAGATAAGCACCACGGTCTTGCAGTTCTGAAGATCTGAGTTAACTACTTAAATAACACAGACAGTTGTGTCTGTGTAATCCCTACTGGAAACAAATTTACAGCACTGATAGATGTGATATTTATATTTCCTTATCAAAAGCAAGAACTTCAGGACAGGAAACAAGCACCGTGACTCTGACTCAGTCAAAGTTTTAAGTATGGAAATAACTTTAAGCATACACAGAGTGCTCATAGAAAGAGGAAGACCATGAATCAGCAATAAAAGTTTCCACTTAACACTTTCAACCCTAATCTGAAAATATCATTAGGAGCAAGTAGTTTTTAATGTCCAAAAATAGAACAAGAAGAAACATACACATAACAAACAACTCTAATTATCAGCATAGTTCCTGCTTATCAGACGAAAGTAGTGATAAAAACTTCCAGAAAATACTCTGTGAACTCTTCACCAATCCCATACAGGCTGGAGAATAAATTAGGTTCCTAAGCATCAAAAGACTGAGGTATTGGAAAACTCTTCAATTAGACACAGTGGAGACCAGGAAACATCCATATTCCATCTTAAAACAGGTTATGTCAATGGATGGAACTAATGGCCTGACTGCCTAAGACAGCAGGGGCCTGCTTCCACAGGCTTACTTCCAAATGTACATTCCCATGTTCAACATTTCAGAACTTCAGCTCTATGCAGAGACTGAACAGCAGCACAGATGTTGCTGGCGGTTAAATCATACTTTGTCTGTTATTACTCCTTCCTGACTAGTGGTGGGGGGTGGGAAGTGTCCAGGGAGACATTTTCCTCTTGTCATAATTTTCCAGCTGGAGCCCTGGTACAGAGGATGGTAAACAGCAGAGACTAAAAAAGGGAAAAAAGCTATTAAAAATTGAAACACTAAGCCCCACCCAAATGGCAGAAGAACTTCAAGTAATTAGTTCTGCAAGGCTAGCTTAGCAGCTTAGTACGAACGGCAGAGGGAGGCTTCCCTCTCGTCCTTAGTTTTGGAGGTTTTCTTTAATTAGCCTCAAGAAAACCTAGCGCTCCTATCTGAATAATCCACGTTTGGTTATTTATTCAGTTCCCTGTTGCTGCACATTACGCAGCCATGCACTGCAGGAATATATCATTTCTTGTTGGCATTTGCTAACCAGGCACTGCATGCAGCTGAGAACACCAGGGAAAGCAAGACAAAGCCCCTGCTGTGTGCAATTCAGAGGTCTGGAGGAAGCCAGAGTCGACTCAGAGAAGATATAATTCAGTACCAGGCTAGGAAGTAAAAATGAAGAGGGAGCAGAGGAGCCATGGAGATTCAAGGTGTGTCTCCCCCGCCCCCCCCCAAAAAAAAAAACACACACAAGAAGAAATACACATTTATGCTCATTTCACAAAAGCAATTTTTGTATGAACAACCACAAACTCACCAACTCACACCGACACCATGAAACTTGAACTGGGGAACAAAGGAAAAGAAAACACTCTCCCTAGAAACATCCAAAGCTTTCCTCTTACCCTCACAGGAGTCTTAAATCCTTAGAGGGTTAGTGGCCTGACCTACAGCATTCTTTCTTCTGGGTGTCTGCCAGACAGCCCTGCACTGTTATTTTCCAGAAGCTATTGTAGTAACCCAATTTCTTAGGGAACAAAGCTAAAGACAAAAAGCGGAGCTTATGGGTCAGAGAAGGTACAACTAACATGCTGAAAAAAGAAACAGAAGATAGACATACTAACACACAAATTTTATAAAGGGAAAAATATAAATATCTAGCCAGAACATGTGTTGATAGGGCAACAGCAGGTGAGAAAAAAAAAATCACAAAGTTATCTGTGTACCTAAGCATGAGATTCATCAGCTGTAGACCTTCGCCTTTCAGGAAACGATCACGATTGGAACTGAGCATTAAGCAGGAACAAAGAGAGTCAAACAGATTCTCCATCATTTCTTGTTCTTCTGCTGTACTAGGGTTGTGTCGTTTAAACACCTGTATGACAAAGAACAAAAAAATTCCCCCAAAGCAGAGCACCCAAAGTGGTCCACACTACTGTAGGGTATACATGAACATTTTACATCACAAGCCTTCAGCATTTGATAAGCATAAGCGCACAGTCATCAGAGCAGCAATCACACGTATCACTGATGTGTTCTCACTTGTAACTCTACTGCCCCTTTACTGCCCTGACTGTATACCAACAAATGAGCAGCAGTCTAATACATGACTCGAAAGACAATGGGGAGACCTCGAAAGGGAAAGGCGTATTCACTGATTACACGAATCACAAAACTGTTGTTACCAGGCATAATGCACATCCAAAGAATCTACTCCACAGCACCCTAACTTACTAGCAATGCTATCATCTGCTTAAGAAATAAAAGTGAGCTAAGAACATACTACCTACACTTAGCTCAAATCGCAGAGGCAATGCATCCCAGCATCTGGCATGGAGAATCCAAAGACCAGCCAAATTCTAACCCTCCCTATCTCCAACTTTTTGCACAGTTATTAAAAAAAAATCATTTAATTTCTATGTACCTCAAGGTTCACATCTGTAAAACAGGGATTACCTGTTTTACAGGTAACTTTTACAGGTAAAACATTTCCTGGTTTACAGGTAATTTTTAACCTCACTAACCATGGTCAATAAGCTTGCGTGGAAGTTATTCAGGCACTACGCCTCTGCTAAACATAAAGCAATGTTGTTATTCAAATAACTAGAGATTTCTAGGACAGTGCTACACCTAGAATCTGCTCCACGCCCTCACATTCAGCCTGTGAGTCTCGATGGTAGACAGGGTGTTTGCAAATTACTCACAGATAACTGCTGAAGCAGCACATCGATCCCATCCAGCTCCCCAAGCAATTCTCTGTTGTCTAGACAGGAGGGAAAAAAAAAGTGGAGAGAGAAAAATGAAGCTAACTGTCAGATTTTACAGCCATCTAACACTGATACATCAGCAAACAAAATCAATATGGCTTGACAGAGTACAAAAGCTGAAGACAGAGTGAGAGAGAGACAGGGAGAAGGAGAAAGAGAGAGAGACAGAGAGCGCGCAAGCACCTGAATATGTGCAAGCAAACAAAGAGAAGCCAAAGGCAGAATGGTGCTGTCATGATCTGAAACAAGCCTAGATCCTATCCTAACAGGATATCGATATCAGAGGCATGTCTCACCATCGTTATTTTGGAGCAAAATAGCCAGCACCTCACTGCAGTAGAGCTTGTTGGCATCAAAAGGCATCTTAGCCTGTTGGTGAAAGAAGGACCAAGAAATCCATCAGGGCACTTCATGTTTGAATTTGAAGACTATTTAAATCAAATCACTGAATGTATGAGCAACATTTAAAACAAAAACACAACAGCAGTAATTTTGCAGTATGACTCAGTGACAAAATAATAATTTTCACGGATTCAGGAGTGACAGGAGGTTGGGGGAAAAGTCAACTTTGATCCTCCACACTGTCCTACATAATTAGGTTTGCCTGAGTTGGCTCAAAAAGCCTGAAGAAAAAAGTATCCAGTTGTTTGCAAAAAAGGAATCTCTTTCTTGTGATAAGTTTTCCATTACTGTTATGCAAGTATATGGGTGTACCCCTATTCTGAAAGTCTGCACCTGCCACCAAAACTGGAATTCCAGAAAACATATCACAGTAACATTAACTACTAGCTTTCAAACTTTGATACAAGGATCATGACGTCATAACTGGAGACACATGAGATTGGAAGAAATGTATGATACTAGTCCTTATTCAAATTTTAAAAAAAAGTCATATTATGAAATTAAATCAGTAACTAGCTATTTGTATTCCTCCGTTCAAGAGAAAAAGAGTAAGAAGTAATAGGCACTAGGCTAAAAGCATACTATTTGTCACCTGCATTCCCTCCTCCCCTTCACCCCCCCGCCAAATACAGGGCTACCCGCAGCTTGACTGAGTGAACCTGGCTGCATGCAGCTACATATGGGCCAATTATCTCAATCTGCTGCCACAAGAAAGGTCACAATACACTAGCGTCACGCAACATAAAAACAAAAAATGCAGGATGATCCAAAATGCCACAATGTATTGACTTTAAAATAAAGCTTTTGATTCTAAAAGATCCCCAACAACTCTATAGATCCCGGTATTTACACACCACTTCTAAGCTGATAGAAGAGGGGGAACGCGGGAGGTGCTGGGTGCTATACAACTCTGTCGGCTCCTATTGCAGCACATACCAACTGCTGTCGTATGACGAGTATTAGGAAACAACGTTCTGTTCTCTGAATGCTGCACAAAACATCATTCAAAGCACACTTATGTTTGGAGAAGCAAGCTATTAAGCTCTCCATCTGAACTTCTGACGTAATTCTGACAGTTAGAATACAATTATGCAACTTGAAACGTAGTCAGAAAACGGACATTCACATCCTAATGCTAGGTGTGCCAGATGTCCTTACTGACTCCTAGGCAGAACCTTGATTTTAAAGCTCATCGTATAGACAGCATTCAGCATCACAACGCTCCACCCCAACGATGAGATATTGGTTTAATACTAAACACGTCTGTCAGGGCGAGAAATTCAAAGTCAAGTACTGCCATTAGCGTGTGTCCCTCCACAATGACATCTTGTAAGCAAGGAAAAGCACTGCCTGATCACACTTCCCCCCCTGGAATCAACACATGACAGCAAAGGAAATACACACATGCAGCACTAACTTTCCCAGGCCTTAAACATTCATGTTCTCTTGCATGGGGAATCCAAGTTCCAACTATTTTGCTTTCCCAAGTTTCTAAGTCTTTCAGCAGCCAGAAAAAAATACAAGGCAGACAGTAGACTTACGCTCAGTACATACCTGCCTGGAATAAAACTGACTTTTTTTTTTTTTTAAGCAAAAGAAACAATTATGCTACTATCACCAGTCAGAAATTATAGGCTACTTCTGCTAACGAGTACATAAGCGGCAGAGAGGAATATCTGCAGGCTTAGAAAACTGTTAGAATATATTTTGTGGTTCAGAGGCCTTCTAACTGCAAAGATGTTTAAGTGTGAAAGTGAAATGCTAATGCCTTACTAATAGAGTTCAGAGAAAGCCCAGAATCTGATCACTAAGTTTCCTTCAGTAACTCTGTAAATGAGTAGAGCTATCAATTCATTTCCCAGAATATTCTTCCAGGGAACGTTTAGGTATCTTTTCATACAAGACAGAGTTAAGCTGTGTAAGTCATTGCCACAGGATGCCAAGAATATCGGAAAGTATATTTGAATTCAAAAGGCAATTAGATGAGCTCATTGAAGAAAAAGCCACCAACAGCACCAGATGAATAAAGACAACACTTGAGACTCGGGAATGTGTTAGAGGTGTAGGAAATAAAGCAAAAGAAAATGGGCTTCATTAGTTTCATTGCTTACAGATTCTACGTTCCCAGGGGTCTTGACCCTGAATCAGAAATCCATTACAGAGGAACCATACAAACATAACAAAGACACTGTCTATTGTAAGAAGTTTACAATGCAAGGCAAGGCACAGAAGATACAGTATGTCTATTTAAGCTAAAAATGCAGAGCATACAAGCCCTGAGTTGCAACTTGATTTTTGTCCTTAACTTGGCTTCTACCAATACACACAAGAACCTCATCTGGCTTGATTTAAGTAGCGTTTTAAGTTCACGCTAACTGCTCTATAAAAGACAGGCAGGTGCTGGCAGAACTCTAGCACCATTGATGCTTGAGCTAGAAACGCAATGGTAACACAGCTACTCAGGATAATCAAATCACTGCTTGCAGCCCAAGTGTTGTTTTGTAGTGCTGTCAAGTGTCCAACTCTGCAATAATGGCAAGACTATAGTTCTCATGGCACAATCAGGGACACACTACCAAAAAAGAACACCCACAGAAACAGGTAAAAAGCAAAAGACATTCCAGAAGACACAACATTACAGGTACTCGTCCAGGCAAACACTACAAAAAAATTAGATCACTTCTACTCACTGACTTAAACCACGTTATATGGAGATTCTTACACAAAGTCAGCTCTTTCAATTTTCCTAGTTTATAATAAATGACAGGGACATTTTCCAGTTGGAGGAGAGTTTTGAATTCATTGTATTCACAAACAGTGTGACAAAGAACAACCACCTACACAAAATGAAAGAGCCAACAATAGCGTTTGGCATAATACTAAAGGCCCAAGGCTATCTCAAATACACTAGATTCCAGACCACTGGCTTCGCAGTTTTTATTGGGATCTCTCTCAAATGGCAACAGAAAAAATAAGCTTACCTTCAGTCTCTTGAGCAACCACTGCATGAGGCCCTGCTGCGCAGCTTCCGTGCACATCTCTGGTCGGAACTCTGCCATGTTCTCTACAATTGCTGAGAAAACAGACACAGAAAACATCTATTTTTCTCCCCCATCCGCAGTTCAGCCCTCACCTGTATCAACACTGCTTTTTCAGGTCCTTCCTACAGCTGCACTGCTCTTTTCAAAGTTACTTATCTTATTTGCAAAACTATCTTGTTTTAAGGGACACTTAAGCTCAGGTGTATGATACTATCTCAGTTTTTTAATTGCCAGCACGGTCCATCTTCAGACAGTGTGATACCAACTCCTGCTGGAAGAAGCCCAAGATATCTTTGCTTTATTCCAGTAGCAATTTCAACTGCACAAACCCAAACTAACAAGGGTTGATCGTGCACAACAGCATCAGCAAAAATTCCAAAATTCTTGCTTCTAGTGCCTCTCATTCATCTAGTCCTCAGAAGCATAAGGAATCAAAGGAATTACCATCCTGAGTGACTGAAAGGAGTGGATGATGGTCTCACTATTAATTATGGAAACACATTGCAAAATGGTAACTGTGCTGACAGTTTCTGTGCTGTGCAAAGACTGGGAAGCAGAGGGATAATGATATACTCTTATAAAATGTAAATTTTTTTTACCGCCTAAAGGTTAAATATATTACTAAGACATGAATAGCTCTCATAACTGAGTAAGTAGGGTTCACAGATGAATGCAGAGTAAATACATGGTCAGTAATAGACACTTTTTGGCACAATGCACAGAATTTCATCTGTATATCAGCACCTTCTTACATAACTGCTTTGGGAAGAGGCCCCTTAGTAGCAGCCATGCAAAAACGCTAGCTCAACAGATTTATGCTTTACTATGCGTGAGTTAAAGTCATGCTTGAATTAAATTCATACTAGCTTCTCCTCTTCAGAGTTGGCAGTTCAAGAGAAAGAAGGTAGGGGAGCAAGAACAGCAGAAGTATAACTCAACCTCCATTTGTACAAAGCACAGAAAGAAGCAAGATGCTGTACTACAACCACTTACCAAGCGTGTTGTGGACACCATCGGCTTCCTCTTTTACACTTTCATCCAGGCGCTCTAAATTCTGGACCAATAAGGCCACAACCTGGCCCTCCACCTAAATTGCCATGGTCATGAGAAAGATCAGAAAGAGGATTGGAAAAAAAGATGAGGGAGGGAGAACAGGGAAATTGGAGAGAGATTATAATATAAAAATAATTGTTAGTTTTATTTATATATATACACACACACACATAAAAATCAATAATCAGTACTGAAACACTCCGCCAAACATGATTCTGAACAGGAGACATTAACAATCTTGCTCTAAAATCTCAGAGCTAGCAAAGGATTCATCAGGTAAATCCACCACAGTGTTTTTCTTAATTAGAAAATTGTTTCACATGAAACAAAAACATCTGGAAGAAAAATATGAACCTTGTCACAGTCTTATTTCCTGAATCAACCTGATTGATTTATAATCCCTCTGAATTCTTAAGTGCTAGACACTACAAACCAACAAGTATTAGCTGGCTGTCAGCTCTGCAAGCAGTTCTCCTACTTTCAGTTGCTTACTGCTGGTCTATCTGCATTTTTGTTATATCTTCCATCTTAAGAGGTCGATAAAGTTGAAGGAACAACGGTCACACATGCACGTTCAAATCCAAAACCTACATGATCACCAGTCTTGCATTTAAATCTTAGTAAGGTGGATATACCAAGTTGACTTGAGTGAGCTAATGAAACCTAAATAAACAATGGGAATCTACACTTGCAAGTTGGATTCTAGCCTCCTAATCAAAAATCTAGTATAATTAGTCCGCTTTTAAAACTGGAATGGGACAAAGTCCACTATGACTTTGGTGAACTTCCCATCACAGCTGTAAGCCTGGAAAATTTAACCTGTCATTCCAATTCAAAGCACTGTCTTTGAATGTTGAATAATGAAGCCATGGGAAAAATACAAGTACCAGTTGCTGCGGAAGGCAAGGCAACAATCTTTACAAGTAACCTAAAAGATTATACCTACTTTCTCAATAAACAAGAGTAATCTAAAAAACAGATAACTGAACATTTCTCCCAAGATACGGCTGTCCTGTTTCTTTCAAAGAGGAGAACAAAACCTGTAAAGCTTGGCTATTATCAGAGGGCTGGTGACAAGGAAACACAGAAAGAACTTGTTTGATTTACTATCTCTCAGTGCATTTTACAGAAAAAAATTCTTCTTTAACAGTTCGTCTCTTCCATTTCATTCATCCAGCAATCTTTTCATCAAGGGACAGTAATTAAGAATAGCCCTGAGGACAGCTGGAGGAACTCACCTCAGGGCCACTGTAATTAACTTTTGGAAGGCAACATTATAGTGAATGGACTAGAAGGACTGTAGGAGAAAACAGCCTTCACACCCTGATCTTCTATAAAGAAAAGATAACCCATAATTCCCCGTCTTTCAATTTCAACATAATAGTTACAGGACAAGACTGTTCAGAGTTCTTCTGCTCTTTTTGGCATTCTCCTCAAGGCTAACAGCAGGAGGCACCCAGCACAAATGCCAAGAAAAGAGGAAGTCCATCAACACAGAAGATGAGGCACTCAAAAGCATTAACTAGGCAGAGCACGCAAGACTTGGCAATCGTACCGCATATAGGTTGTTTAATCTCCATGGCAAAAAGGATCATTACATCTAAACTCTCCTCCACTCTTAAAACGTATTAGCTCTGTTACTTGAAAACTTTCAAGCTTTCACTTCCTTTTTACACAAGAAAAAAAGTGCAACCTCACTATAGTAACAGATGTTCCAGTTCAGCCATGAATTATTGAACCACTGGACAGAAGTCTACTGGTCTCCCTATGCAAGAGGTTAGACTCATATATCGTAATGGCCCTGCTGTCCTTCAGATAACAGTCTGAGCTCTGCCTCAGATTTCAGTCTTTCCAGGGTGAACAGAAATCACTCTTTTCTGCAAAGAAGGAAGAAAAATGCCAAGCAAGCTTCAATTTTCAGTAGTACGCTATCCAAGTCACAGATGCCCTCCCTCACTTATTCTCCCTCACTGTATGGAAGAAAATCCCCCAACCTACACAGATTTTGAAATATGAGCATGTTCCCTCCAAAAAAGGAGGTGGTCTAACAATTTGCCAGAACAGCCTACTCCCTATACTAAAGAAACCCACCAGAGCCCTAATTACAGCATTTCAGCTATAAGAAAACAGACACATGAATTGGATAGCTTCATCCTGGTGTTGGTATTACATAAAGCCACAGCTGTGGAAAGCAGGGTAGTTCCAGAGCATTCACTGCTCTGTGGTATAAGGTAGCCATTGTTCAGCCATCTAGAATAAGCTAGAGCTTTCTACTTACTAGAGCGTCTATGAGGACTTCAGCTCCTTCTTCACTCTCATGGAGAGTATCTATATCAGTCAGTTCTTGAAGCAAGTCTACCACAGCTATGGAAACATGTGGAAAACGTCAAGGACAACCAACACAGAGACAGACACATTTAACATCAGAATAACACTTCTCTGTTCTTAGGCCAGCACGCTCACGCCATGATCCAGAACAGCTGGTAATGCATTACACAACTGGGGCACAGGAACAGCAGATTCAAGAGCATAAAGACTACTTCAGAAGACAGGCTTTAGGAGCACTAAAAACCAAGGAATGCTAACAATTAGCAATGATAAAACAAATGTCATTGGGTGCTCACAGGGTCAGGCAATTTTACTGTTGCTTGATGATTGTTTTTAAAATGTCAAAAAGCAACTAATGCTCTAGAGTTGGTATAACTAGTCACCATCTTGCATTATCAAGACCGAATACAAGCACAGAGAAATGCATTACAATAATCTGATTTGGCTATTATCCTCTCAGTGATACCCTTGCTAACCTGATACAGCATGCACCTAATAAGGCCACTGCATAAAGCAGAAGTGATAACCCCTTTCTGCCTGGCCCAATTAACATAGCATGCTCCTGTAACCATGCACCTCACAGGAACCGCATAGCTTCTGCCAGCCCAATTTTCACTCATTAACACTGGACTACATAACACATGGTTCCCTTGAAGCTCTCTTATACAATGAGATGTATTCCATCTCATTAGACCCACTTTCTTATTTTCTCAGACACTCCGATCAATCTTCCCCAATTCCCCCTGGGGTAGGACAGGACAGGTATGCAGTTTTCAGCAAGTCCTATATGGTAATTTTGTGATGAATCTTTAACATTCCCAGGCTAACAAACCAGCCTCCCAAGTCTCCTATTCGTGCATTTGCTCAGACACACAAAAGCAATAAGAAAGATATTTTAATACAGCTCTTTTTAATAAGGTTACAGTTCTGACTTATCTAGTCTCAGGAAATCCTGTAATAAAGTTGCCTGTTCTAATCCCAAGCTAACCTATGTACAGGCACTGCAAAACACATACATCAGTATGACTACTACTTCCTTTACACTCTACAGCAATCCTTAACCAAGCCAAAGCTATCTGTACGTTTTCATGATAGGAACATGTATTTTCAGATGATTGCCCTATCACTTCCACCTGCAACTGTTATCAGGAATCAAACAGAAGCACAGTTATTCCTTACTGGGCACACAGTCACTTATGCTTATACAAAAACATGGTTGAAAGGTATCAGGGTGCAATTTTTAAAAGCAAGTTAGGGCATGACTCCATAAACAAATTAAGAGAAAACAACCTGCCTTACATTTATTCTGCAAGGAGTCACATCTATCAACTATTAAGTAACACAAGCTGGAGGAACGGGCCAACAGAAACTGCATGAAGTTCAACAAATGCAAAGTCCTGCATCTGAGTTGGAACAACACTACGCATTGGGGACTGACTGCAGAGGTAACAGCTCTGCAGAAAAGAGTCTGGAAGTCCTGGTGGACAAGCCGAACATGAGTCAACAGTGTGCCAGTGCAGTGAAGAAGGTTAACCGCATACTGCGTCGCATTAGCAACAGCAAAATCAGCACGTCAAGAGAACTTACTGGCTGCTTGGCACTCATGAGGCAACATCTAGAATATTTTGTTCAGCTGTGGGCTCCCCCCACTAAAAGAGACATATATTGGACTGAGGAGAGTGGAGGACCACTAAGGTGGTCAGGGGGCTAACACATCATACAGGAGGAGAGACTGAGAGAACAGGGTGTGTGTGATCAACCCCTAGAAGAGAAGGCTAAGGTAGGATCTAGCTGTAGACTACTGCTACCTAATGGGTGCTATAAAAAAGACTGCGCCAAATTTTTCTCAGAGCGTACAGTAAAGGATGAGAAACAAAGGATAAAAGTTACAGCAAGGGAAATTCAAACTAGATATTAAAAAAAAAACAAAAACACATCACTCTTCAGAAGAGTAGCACAGCACTGGAAACATCCAGAGAGGTAGGTGAACCTCCGTCTTCAGAGAATGTCAAAACTCAGTTGGGCATGGGCCTAAGCAACCTGATCTAGCTTTGAAGTTGGTCCTAATTCGAGCAGGGGATTAGACCAGAAGCCTCCAGTGTCCCTTTCCAGTGTACACTACTCCATGATTTAACAATGTTCTAAACAGGCACCCAATGTAATAGGAGACACAGGAATCCAACAGGAAATTGTTAAATTCTGTTTTTCTGTAGCCCAGTCTAGAAGGAAGGCCAAGCCACACTAAGTCAGAAGCTCCCAAGTTAGTCTTGTTCTTTAAAAAAAAAAAGAAAATAAAACAAAAAAGCCCAACAACACCCATGCCACTTAGTGCTAAAGACAGCTCATCTAAGACATGAACAGAAATGCTGTATCCATATAATTAATTTTAAGCGGTTAAGTGTAGCTTGACCTTTGACCAGCTACCATGCAACTGCGCTCAAGTTCCTCTAGCAGCCAGAAGAGAGTCCATTTTCTAGGGCATTCCTATCCAGGTAGCTTCTACTGAGGCTTCCAATGAGAACGTCAATGGTTCTAAAGAATTTTGGAGAAGGAAAAACAAGACCTCACTTGATGCTTTCCTGACTTTCATTAATTAAATCTTCTTGGTGATCATCTTCTAGTCACTTGCTCTGTGTAGAACTACCCGATTCTTTGATTCGGCAGATTATTTGCACACCCCCCCACCCCAAATATTGCTTTTCTCTCCTTGCATTAGTCCCTCAGGACACTAAACTTAAATCAAAACTGAAGAACCACTTGTTTAGTATTCCCTTTATTCCCTCATTTTAAGATCTTCTCCCAGTAAGTTTTAACAAAAAGTCAATAGAAAACTTGAGTTGTACCCTATTTTGTTATATGTCTAGAAGCTTCACTTCAACAGGGTTTCCATTCTGTAAATAAGCAGCAGCATCACCATAAGAAAGGTGTTACTACAGCCTCTATCCCGATTCCAACATATCCGAAAATACATCACCAGTTTTATAACAAGAAATATTTTTTCTCCCGAAATTGTAGTTCATAAGTCACATTTCTATCCCTAACTGACAGACAAGTGGCAAAACAATTTAAAAAACAGTTCACAGTGAAAACCCTGACAAGTCCTCAACAGCAGCCGTGACCTTTGGACATTGTTTTTCATGGCTGAAAGGATAAAGCAAGCTGTGTTCCTGTACGCTCCAGTTTTTAAGGGTGCTATGAACCAGCTCTACTATCCCAGCCAAAATCCCTACGGTTTGTTTATCCTGCAAATGGTAAATTCAAGATAACCTTTTAATGCCACGCACATAGTACACAAAAAGCCTGAGGTGTCTGGCAAAAAGAATAAAACATTAAACGATGACGACTGTGAAACTGGTTAGCACAGTAGCTGTTTCCCACTGTAAGACAGTGAATTGTTAACAATCATTTACTTGAGAATAATTTCCATTATAGATCACAGATAAGGCAAGCAGCAGTGTCTGCTGTTTTGCAGAAATCAGCATTCTACCAAGGTTAAGTTAGCTGCAAGTCAAAATAGCCAAACATGTAAATGGTGTTTTGCAATGGAAACCGCTATGCAATACAACATTTGTTTGGGTTTTTATATTCGAATCACTGCACACTTAGAAAGAATGAATTATGGTTTCTTTAGTACACAGTACTACATGGAAAACTGAGGAAAAAAAGAAAAACAAGATCCCTACATCAGATCACAACACTTAGCACTTACCAGTCCTTTTAATATTGCATATTTCAAAGCATCTCAGAAAAGCAGACAAGCATCATCTACCTCTTTACAGAAAGCAGAGGGAAGACAAGAATTAAATGATTTCCCAAGGTCGCAAAGTGACAAAAACGTAAAAAGAAAAACCACCACAAGCCCCAAGTCCAGTGCCCTTCCCACTGGGCTTCACTGCTCCTTCCATCCACTAATGTTTGTCAGGACACAGACACAAGATCTCTCAAATCATAGCATGATTTTTCAGTTTAATCTACTGTGGAATATTTTAAAAGCCACACAGACTGAGCTCTACTTTTAAAGACTCTGCACAAAGGTAAGCAAAACAGAATTCTATTTATCAGCTGAAGGCTAAGAATCAAGGCAGCAAGATACTCAAAAAACAACACTGTCCTCCTTTAGGATTACTGAAATCTTTAACATACAGAATAGACTGAAAACTCTTCTCAAACATCCTCAGATCTTTAGAGGAGCAAGAGACAGCTGCACACAGGGGTCAGGTTCAGTGAAACAAGAATTGATTAATCATGGAAACATCTCTGGATATTCATAAAACTAGAGGGGCTACCCACAAACTCAAACTTTGAGAAAATCAAATTAAATATATGAAAGCATGAAGAATTTATCACAGTTATAAATTAAGTGTAACATTACAGTGAGCTAGTCCACAGTAAGTGGTTGAAAACATAAGAAAACTCAGCCCTCAGTAAAAAGGGGTAACCAATTTCTCTTTTACTGAGGACCATTCAAGGCAAAAGTTTGCAGGTGGTCAGGAGTCTATGCTGTGAGGCCGATACTTTAGCTTTTCCTGTGTTGTTCATCTGTCCATACTCTAACATAGCCACTCAAACTTGGATGAAAAGTTCATAAAACATGAAGGGAGAGCAACACCACTGAAAAAATTCAGAATCAATATTACTTGCACAAAGAAGGTTTTCACTTGAAAAAGGACACGAATTCAGTGCAGCAGGAAAGAAGAGAAAAACATATAGTAGTCTCTGAAACCAGGATATAAGAGATTACAGAAAAGTCCACAGAAAACCTCCCACAAGAGAGTTGCTTTAACAATAAAGGATATCTGTGTTGTCGTGTCCAAGCAGCCCAAGGAGAGACTGCACAGCATTCAGCTCCACCAGCAGATGGTACAGGTCTGGCATAGTGGCAATCACATGCATTTCCTGAATGATGTCATTTAAATCCAGCTCAGATTCCATGAACCTAACACAAAACAAAAATTGTTAACGAAGAGGCAAGAAGTACATCAGCTCTGCTTAGCAGACACAGCCCTTTCAGGAAAGGGAACGAGACATTCCACAAGATACCAGGCAAGGCTTAGGCACCCACACAACCCCGTTCTGATCACCTCACAGTCACGGAATTCAGAACTCCTTATAAGCAGTTTGTGCCTCATTCTGTCCTGCTGCTGCCCCTTAAAGCCTAGTCATACAGTAGTACAAGCCTTCCTACAGTGTAATTTGCATACTTATAGTAAATAAGTAGCTCCATTCCAAATTCCATAAATCTGAAAGTTATAGAACTTCAAAGATCACCAAGAAGTTGTAACTACATAGAAAACACCCTGCATATACAGATATATACATACATACACACATAAATATAAAAATATATATTTATATTTATTTATATAATAGAGCGAAGCACTTTCCCCAACTATCACATACTGAGCAGCATGGCTGATCGTTCTCTCCTAACAATTGGTAATAACACTGATGCTGGAAACAGCTAGTTAGCTCACATTTTTTAGAGCAAAGCCGCTTATTTAGATACCTAATGAAAAAAAAGAAAACTTACAAAACCTTATTTAATTTGTGCTCTCAAAATACAAAGAACATAATCGAATTTTAGTATTTAAATTTCACAAATATATAAACGGCAGTAAGAATTTAATAAACCAGAACTTTTCCAACCATTGCTTACCATTTTCTTCTCCATACTGCAGTTGCAAGTGACACTGTTTTATTCTATTCCTGTCATCACCAGCAGTCTCGATAATGCCATTTTTAATTAACAATGTTAGTTTCACTTACAATTCATAAGAACTACACGGCAATAACTGCTATTACATAAGTTTAATGTAACCGAAAACATCTGTATACTCAACACATTGATTTAGGGTTGAAACATAAAAGCAAATGAAAAAAGGGCAATACAGAGGGGCTGAGCAAGATCTTACTTCTCTGGATTGTCAGGAAACTTGATCCGTAGCTCCTGGTTTTTGTAAGATCTCTTCTCAAAGGTGAGAATCATCTTTTTCACTGAACTTTCATCCAAAGGTTCCTCCTAATCACATTGAAAAAAACCACAGAGCTTAACATCTGAATGGCTGGAACAATTTCCTGGCAGAAAGCAAAAGAATAATCAACATACTGGATGTGATAAGACTGTACAGGCCCAGATCCATTAGGGATATAGCAAAGGAACAAATTGTAATCACTGGAAGTCTCACTGCAGAAAGCTGACAAAACTCATACACCATTACCATTCATTTATTGATTTACTCCAACTTTGATCTGAGCAAGTTCCCCAGAGCAATCAGAGGTTTACCAACTGAAGGTTCTTTGTAAAAGAACCAGAAGAGCTTCACTACGCTTTCTGAAACCGAGTATGAATGAAAACATTTAGTTTTCGCAGTGGCCCATCTTCCTGGAGCTATTTTTTACACCTATGTTATTAACTAGCACCACAAGCTTTTCATGAGCCTTTCTGCTACTGACATGTTACAGTAAATCTGCATTAGCAGTTTTTATATAGGAAGGGTCTTTTCGGAATTCCATTGTGTTATTTCCTTTCGCAGGTCTAGCATTTAACTGCCTTCAATTTAGGCTCTTCTGTATTTTCCTTACTTTCTCACTTGGACAAGCATTCACTTCTATTTTAAAGTCTTCTCTCTCTCTTTTTTTTTTTTAAGCTCCTTTTATTTTTGGAGTTCTTTTGAAGTCTTTCTCAATTGGTATTATACATACATTCTCCTGTTTAATCAAACATTGATATCAAACTTTTTTGTGCAACCTCTTTCCCCTTCTACAAGTTTGCTGAACTTGGCTACGTTACAATCACTATTACAAAGAAGGTCTCAAAAAAGAAAAAACAACAACAACAATGACCCTCCACATGTTGTAATCTAAGTTATGTGTCTCCAGTTCAGGATTAAATCAAGAGTTGCTTCTGCTCTTGAGGATTCTTTGATTAGTGACTCTAAGCCACGATCTTTTATGAAATATAAAATTTAAATTCCTCCAGAGGGCCCAATTACAATAACACCAGTCAATATGAAGACAGTTGAAGTCTTCCATTATTATTGGATTTCCTACTTTCTCAACTCTAATCTGCCTGAGCACTTTACACCATCCCATTCAGGTAATCAATACTACAGTCCCCAAACTATATTCTTTCTACAATGGAATTTCAATCCACATAGATGCTGTCACAGATGCTGACACTGTAACCTTTATTTTATTTGATTCTCTGCTTTCTTTAACAAATTCCACTATACTACATCCATTACAGTTTGCTCTATATCCTGTATAGAATTTGAGTCCAGTTTTGCAAGTGTCCCACAGATTAGCTTCCCGTCCATCAAATTTACTGATATAATAAGTATCTCTGAAATAAAAGAGCATTTAAGACGTCTATATGAACTATATTCAAAGAAAATAAACACAAGATTTCTGTTCCGAAGAACCCTTGGACTTCCATCACTTAAAATGCCTGGACGTGTAAACTGTACTCTACAAACACAAGGGACTTGCACACTGCAGGAATCCACAAGCCTCTAGCCAGTCAACAGGGCTTTTGGCTATATGCATTCATCCTGGAGCTCAAATGCTAAAGAAATCCTCTATTATCTTTCTCAGCTATCAGCAACAACTGTAATGGCAATAGCTCAACATCAAAAAAACAAGGGAGATTTCAGAGACGAATGCTAGCAATGCTCTATACAAAGGACAATGATACCTTACAAACCCATATGATTCTGCAGCGGTGAATATCACTTGTTTTTTTTTTAATCAAACAGGACACAGGCAGCAAGAAGCAAATATCTTCTAGATTTATACCAATCCATGTGTCACATTTATAAAGTGATCTTTCCCCTGGCCCTTGGCAGAAAGGCCAGTGCTGCATTGGATTTCTGTCTCCAAGGCTTGAAATCATTTACCCTTGACAGCTGCTACCCCCCCTTCCTCTGACCCAAGACCTTTCTTCTACAGAAGAACGTTTGTTTATTTGCTGCTGCTGCTGCTGCACAGCTCGAAAGAGGGGGAGAGTGGGAGAAGCTGGATGGCTGGGTGTACTGATGAGAACAACAGAAAACTAATTAGAATACAGAAGCTATTTCCTAACCATACATTTTAGAAGGTGATTTGGTATTCTAAATATAAAAAAAAAAAGAAATCAGGCTTTAAAGATTTTTTTTTTTAAACACCCCTCTTCCCTCTTTAAATCTTCAGAAGGTATATTTGGGAAGCCTTGTTTTAAATTACTGAATAATCTATAGGGTAAGAAAGTAAAATCACAACCTTAAGCTGTATGCGGCATGTGAAAATGATCAGTTAGTCTCATCATCCAAACAGAACTAAATGTAAATCACAGAAATTTAGCTATTGCTTATTTCTCATTGCTAATATACCTACTCAAATATTTTCTCCTTTTCCCTCCAATTATTTATAGTGAGAAAAGTATAATGACAAGTAAAAGCATGAACTATTTTATACAGGCATTATCCATCTTAGAAAAGGGACAACTTTGAATTCATACAGGCATAGACAATTTATTTTTCTTCTTAAGAGTTAGGCTATGACAAAAAATTCATTTGAACAAAGGGCAACTGCTTTCCAGCCTCCTCCTTCCCACATAACACTACCGATTTACCTCTTCGTCTTCCTCTTCCCCATCCCTCTCAATTATCTGAAGAAGTTTCTTCTTCTCATCATCAGTTTCTTCCAGCGCAACAGACTCCTCTTCTCGGTGGCGACTATGTTCTCGTGCACTAGCTTGCTTCCGTCGTGCTTTGATTTCTTCTTCCTCTTCATCACGAGGTCTTTTTGTTCCTCTGTTAGGCTAAAGGCAGAGGAATAAGGTGAATGAATACAAACCTTTGTTGACCCTTGCAAACCAGAACACCAATACTACACTACTTACTGAGGAAATTCTCAAAAGTTGCTTAAAAATTTGATTTCACTATGCTTAACAACTTTGAAAACTGGAGGAGAAATTAATTTAGTGAAGCAGAACGTCAAATGAATAGATGAATAACTCTGCCAAGGGCTATGTCAGCATCCTACCTCATTTGATCCATATCTTCATAATGAAAAAATACAAGTGTTTCAACAACAAGAAGTGTCCAAACTGAACTGACCACTGATTCTATAGCAGACAAGCTTCACTTGGAAATCAAGGATCTGAACTCAACTAAGACAACTGAGACAGCTTCTTGTTTTATAAACAGAAGACCAATATACTCAAGCATATAGAGGTCAAAGATAATTTTACACCCACCTAGCATATGAACCTATTTTGAATTCTTGTGTGTACCCCAATTCCCCTTGACTTCTTCTATCCGTCTGTCTAAAGTTTGCTCACATTGACTGCAGAATCAAAGCCCCAGTTAGGGTATGGAGGAAAAGAGTATTCACTGCTATTCTGCAGGGGCTGGGAACCAGTTTAAGCAGTGCATGTACCTTTACAGTTTCCTTGGAACAACCTATTATTTTATTTGACAATGTCTAATTAATTGGCAAAATGAAAGGTCACTTGCGAGGGACAAAAAAAAAAGCACACTAACCCTAATCTCCTATTTTAATTAAGGTAAAAAAGTATGAAAGCGTTTGCATTGGAAGAAAAACACTCTCCCTCTTCAAAAATTGCAAGGATATGAAATTTGGTCTCCCTTGCTTCTTTCTGAAGGACAGCCAGGTTGAAACTGAAGTACTCCATTCACTATAACTACAGGAAAACGAGGCTCATTCTTTACCGTTTGACAGGAGCCTGTGTGCTAAGAACAATGAAAACAATAGGATAAATATTCTTACTTTCTACCAGCTGCTTAAGTTGCTTTGTAGATAATATCATAACCCTACTAGGTCTAATATTCATCCAACCCTTTTCACAAAATATTATCTGGTAGGGAAGACCTAACTTTTCTGCTTTGCGGGTCCCTCCGTCTACAGTCATAAAAAAATCACATCACATTTTCATGAATGTAAGGCCTACTGTCTTATTGCACTTTGGATTCTCCTCGATTTTGATTCAAAGCTAGCTAGACAGAAAAAAAACAAAGATGAAATAGGTGACAGTGTCCATCTCCTGCCAAGTCCAATAAGAGTACAGGCCTCAAAGTGGGAATTTCAGCTCCTCAGCAGCCTGGGAACTTTAGGCCCCAGAGGACACTAAATCTTCCAGGCTCACAAGGTAGCCCTGCTGTGATTCTGATTAAAATGAGTATGTTGCAGACCAGCTAACGGTGTCGCTCTGCATAAAGCTAGAAAGCGTTTATGGAGTTATTTAATATATATGAAAAGCTAGCAACTGAAAACTCAGCTCTCAAAACAGAAAGAAAAAAACACTAAAGAACACTTGAAGCTTTAAATATAATAACAGGCAAACAGGACAGCAGACTGAACACAATTATGTTATATTTTTAGGGGTATAGTGCTGGCATCACTTTAGGGAAGAAACAGAATCAAAGTTCTCGCTATATAGGATCAAAAAAACTCAGACAACACATTAGCACAAATCTAAGCTCTAGATGCTTGCTCCCAGCCAGATCTATTCAAACTTGGTTATCTGTCTTCTCCCTCACTACGTTTTCTCGCTGTTTGAATTATAGATGGTACATTCCTGACTTAAACTTCTCTAAAGTGCTCCCATACACTTTTAAAGCAGTTACTGAGGTCATAATTCAATAGCCATGAAGTAGCACTATACTTTGAGATTCTTTGAAATGAAAAAAGTTATTTACTTGGAGGGTTTTGTGTATTTTTTTTCTATTATAAATCTTCTGGGTCTTTTAAAATATAATTTTGCACAGATCAACTCTGAAACAAACACGTCACTGCCAGCAACCAATAATTTAAGCTCTCTCAAACTAGTTAGCAATCCCTCTATTTCCCTCCCCACCCCCCAAAACCAGAGGTTTTTCTAAATGGCATCACCTCAGGAAAAAACCTAGGTAAACAGATACGCCATACTCAGGGTCCTTAACGGCAGGCAGGTCTTTGTCCTTCATATGCCCTTCTGTTCCCGCCTCAATGTGCAATATTAAAGAGCAACCCAGTACACCCTAAATCACCTTTGACAGATGATTAACATTACAAACATAGATATACAAATTAATGACACAAGAAGTCCTGAAATTTACAGGAAAAAAACCTTACAATATTTGCCTTGGACATTCCTACTTTAAGCTTTAGGATCTCATTCCCCTCTCTCTCATTCCTAAACATCAGAAAAAACAACAAACAAACAAAAAAGAGACTGTAGCGATAACGAGGGACCAAAGGAGTTGGTGGTTTGTCAGATGCAAAGTAGTGTACCACAGGCCAGGACTATATCATATCACCAGAATGAGATCTAAATTAAAACTCCATCATGAAGCCAACTCCATTTCCTCCAAGCACGCAATCTACAGTATCAGAATTTGCAATCTGTTTCCTTCTCAATTATTTTATCCTTTTTTGTATTATATATTGTTGGGGGGGGGGGAATCTTCTATAATACATAATAGAAGTTATTACGATAAATTATGAAATCGCCCAGTGTGCAATTATTAATGCTGCCAACATATCAGCAATAGACAGTAATTGAATTCCTAGGTAAACTTTATTAAGCAGGCATTAAGGTTGCTCCTTTTGCTATTGATGTTATGCTAAACCTTACTGACAATACTGCAGTTATCCAACAAGCATTAATAAAAACTAAGAAATCAAGGCATAAGACACTTGTGTATCTGCTCGTTTCACAAAAGATGCACAGTCATGAACGACCGATGGAAAACAAACAATAAACTTCCACTTATTGATTTTCAGTTTTGTTTTGCCTTTCTATTTTCTAAAGGATTGCTACTAACCAAAAAGAATTAAGCACGTACGCTGTTGCACTGGAACTGGCGCATTTCGCTAAGCAAGCACATATATGATATCTAAACGTTTATTCAAACAATTTCATAGCTTCACACACCTACTTAAGTTTTGACTTTTTGGTAGAAAATGCCAAGTTAATGTTTAATAAATAAAACATATATCATTTTCTTCCCCTCTTGGTGGGCTAAGGGGAATTTGGTGGAACCTGGAATTTATTAGAAAGTACGCAAGAAAAGCATTTAATTTTTTTTATTATTAGTTAAGCTTAATTTTCTTCTTATTGAATGCAGTTCATTCACTGTAATTTACTCAGAAGAGGTTTTCATTTAAAGCTAATACTGATATAGTCAAGCAAAAACCAGCCAATATAATAGAGTGTGTAAAAAAACCAAAAATCCTCAGACATTTATAAAATCCTATAAGATAAACAAAAGCTGCTGATTGGTATAGGGAGAATTCTCTCTCTCTCTCTTCTCCACTATTCTTCAGTTGTACTTGTTTTTGACATTAATTGAAATATTCCAGTCTTCTGTTACATACTGGAACTTGAAGCGTCAGGTGGCAGATCCTTTCTAGAAGTACACAATGAAACAAAGGTCTTCATTACAAAGAGCAGAAATGAAAGTCTTCCCTCATGTGTTGTGAAGGTGAGCAAAATTATATCCTAAATCAGAGAACAATGATCTGTTCAGGGGCCCTGCCCTGGCTTCCTTGGAACAGTGATTACACATCAATATCAAGATTAAATATCCCATAGAAATCTGAGAACATATTGTTCAGACTCCTGATTGTTTCTCCACATATCAGGAAGGTTTAGAGAAATCTCACTAACGTAGTTTCATATAACTAAGACATTTACTTTGTAAGTAACCTTGTTACTGTGGAGCTCAGAAATTATTTGTTAACAAAATCTGACGTAAACCTTCATAAGTGATACAGCTTCTTTTGTGAGCATGTCTCAGCCAATGGCAACCTGTTCAAAAGAGCCACTGAAGAAAACTACATATTAGCTGTCAATTCAGAATTTCTGAAAGCAAGCTCAAAGTCTCCAGAGGTATCTTCACTAACTTATTATTTTTGTTTTCAAAATTTGTGATAAACAAGGCTACTCTCAATCCTACTTTTCATTGTTTTTCCTGAAACATGGCACTTCCAGCTGGCACAGAATCTAAACATTGAAAATCTCACAGAACTGGTACACGGAAAATCCAGAGACTTCCTGAGAGCTCCAGAATTGTACAAGCTGAGGCAAATGAAAGGAAACACACTGCATCTACATGGACATAGTTTATTACTTTAGGGAAGAATTATTTCCTCCTCCTTCACCTTCCCATCGCGTGGAACACCTAAGCCCCACAGCAGCTTGTTACTGTGAAAAATACGTAGACAAGGAAAAGATAAGAAAACAAAATCCGAAGTTTCACCTTCCCATGCAAAATTAGAGTTACCATTTAATATTCAAAAACCAACAAACATTATACATATATATGTGTATATATATACACATATATACACACACACACATATATATAATGGCCAACAGATGCACGTTTGTCCCCTCTGTACAAAGGCCAGCAATAACATATCTATTCCTGCAGTTGCTTTACTTTGAATTGATGAAAACCAGATGAGGAGACAGAGGACAGCCACCAGAAGCTTTAAAAGGACCAAGCCTTTTATGAACAAACACCAAAAATCTAGAGCACAATCTTTAGCAGAAATAGCAATCTTTCTTCCTTCTCTGTGGCATCAGTCAGAGAGCTCAAAGCTCAAAAACCAATCCTAAAAAATGGTGCTATCGCTAGGACCATTCACAAGGCCAGCTGCACGCTGCCCTGTCTTTTCTCAAGTCTCTACAGAGGCAACTACGCTCATTAGCACACTTCAAAAAACAAACAGAAAATCTGTCTCCTGCAACGTAAAGTATAAATTGCATCCAGGAAAAACAAGAGAAAAAAAAAAAGACTAGTAAACCAAACAACATTTTCTAAACTTCCAGCTACCCTCTATAAGACATTTGTAAGTTCAGCAGAAGACTGACTTGCCTCTCCTCCCAGCTTTCCATCATTTTCTGCCGTGTCCATGGCAACACTGAATGAAATATGGTCTGATATACCCAACTTGTACGTTAAGGGCTCCAAAACGAGCTGATGAACCACTTGTGAACAGAACAGAAGAGCAGCGTAAACTTGGGTACTGGGAGGTGGAAGAGGAGGATTTTTTACCTTGACAGACTTTAACATACATTCCAGTTCGGCAGCAAAAGACTAGACGTGGAAAAGTAAACATAAGGTTCACTTGCACCTTCACTAACTTAACCAAAAGAGCACTCTAGCTCCGGGCAGTCTGGAGAAGCACCGAACAGGCAATCTGAAGAGAACACAGAGGCTGATGCTGATGACTGCTCATAACTTTAAACAGAAGGCATGACAAGAGTTGCTAGGGTAATAAGGTTGTAAGTAGTCAACAGCCTACAAGTCAACTGAACTGCCTCTACCATCAAATGCATTCATTATGTTAGCAAGTTTACAGTAAATTATCTATACCAGTAGCAGAAATTAGTCTGCACCTGCACTGATATATAGGGATACATTCCACTACAAGCTACATTTAACGAAATCAAACAGGAAGACAGCCCAACTCAGTGAAGTCAAACCTTATCTCATATTTTCCTGCTTTTCCCTTTGTTTGATTTTACAAATATTTCATTTTAAAAAAAATAGCAATTTGTAATCACCCCACACTGTAATGAAATTTGCATTTAACAAGAACTAAAATAATCTCCCTTCCCCCCCTCCCAAGACAACTGAAAGAGATGTCTGAAAATAACCAGAGATGGCTTTGTCCCCCTTAATTACCCACTGCAATCAGAAACCAGACACAGTGGATCTGGGCAGTCTTTCTGGGCAGAACAGCAGCAACATTTAATCAGCAGTTTAGACCATCTGCAACTGTTTTGCAACAACACATAAAGTTTATGGATTCCTGAGCTTTGTATAAACTGCCAGGTGCTGGAGTCTGTTTAACTGTATTTTCTGTTGCAAGATGTTCCCTTTCCTATTCTGATCAACGCTTGATGCTGAACTGGCAGCACAGTGCCTGAAATCTTCCATGCCAAGTTTGACACTAAGGGAGAACATTTTCTTGATTAATCAAGGGCACAGATTAAACGTTTAGAGGAGACAAATTTGAAACAATATAAGAGAAAAGCAATTATTGTGGTTTGTGCTGAGGGAAGCTAAGAGCAACTCATCTGCAGCAACAGATTAAAAAAATCAGACAGCTGAAGCGCACGCCACCCATCATCTAGCCCACTCTTCTGACAGCAGTTGCCACCCCAGCAGCAAGGATGAATGAAGAAATCTTGAACCAGCATGCTTTTCAGTCTGATATAGGAAAGCACCCTGACCTCAAATCCAGTTAAACTTAAAACATCAGATAGAAAATTGGAGCAGTTCAGGAGCTGTTTTATGAGCTACTAAGTCATCCCTGTCTCAGGAGCAGCAGCTCTGTCAAGCAGACAGCTTGGAGCAATGCTCACTTCATCTATCTGATTTCATTCTGCCACGCGCAAGGCAGAACCCTCTCTGTGGCACAGTCACAACAGAATAGAAGCTGGATTATTTTGAATTTTACTTGTTCAGTGGAGTAGAACGTACATTTCCAAACTTATATTTTTGGTGCGAGGGCACCTATTCTGCCATTTCCTGTGACAGCAGCGGCGGGTACCTGACCTTTTCTAGGATGGAAGCAGCTGAAACCTGTAGTTTGCAACTTCTGTTTCTAAGTTTCAGCCCTAAGCCCCTTCACAGAAGGCATTCTCACCTTCACAAAATCATAACTATTTATCTGCCTTCTGTTCCCCCACCTATCTCACATGTATTCACCCTTCTGCCTAATTCTGGAGGTCTGAGTTCAATGATGCCAGAAATCCAGCACTTCTTCTGAAGCGTTACCTAACCTACTGACACAGGAAGCCATTTGTATTCAGGTAAGAGACCAGAAGAGCACAAGGCCAACACAACACCTTCAACAACAATTTCAATACTTGATTTTAGAATGCTTTTATTTTACCTACTGATTCAGCAGGGAAAGTACGTTGTTGCAGTTTGTCTAGGAATAAAAGTACAAGTCAACAGTATTTGTGTATAAGAATCATAACAGAGAAATTAAAACGTTATTACAAATCACTTTTGTCATTCACTTATCCACAGGAGAACGCTATAAATCTACAGCTGTGACAAAAAATGAGTGGTTTACCACAGCTACTTACAAATTAGCCTCCACATATTCAATAAAACACAATCGTACACCAAGAGCAGAAAAATATTTATAAGATAAAAAGAAAGTTTTATAAATAGGAAAACTTTTTCAAAAGATTTGAATAAGAAATGATATCAAATGGCTTCTGTAGCGAAACAGGCAAGAAAAAGGAAGAATGAAAACGCAAGTCGCAGAACGAGCACAGGCTCTACCTCAGGGGCAGGTGGGGGCGCAGGTCAGCGGGGACGCACGGCCCCGTCCCCACCAGCCGCGGAAGGCAGAGCAGCCACACGCCCCCCCCGAGCGATGCTGCTCACGGACGCCGCGGCGCACCGAGAGGGA